TGACAGTTTCAAGCCTGGAGGTTCCATTATAGTTAGGAATGATTATTTCAGAATATGGGGCTTCTCTACTGAGGGACACCACATGAGAACCGCTCCATTTTCTTGCTTGAGGTAAGGTACCACAGGGTACAAACTCTTCTTTCTTTTATTCTATTCCTTTTCTTAGTTCCTGGGGATCTTCAACACTTCATATGTCTCCATTTAAAGTATTAGGCAATGCCTGTGCTCCTATTCATATTCTTTTTAATAGAACTTATTTTATAAAATTCTCTAAGTATGATTTGGGGAAATTTGTGCCAGTATGCTATATTATGTCTCAAAAAATTAGAGCTGTTCCAGCCTGAGCCATAGCTAGACCCCATCTCTAAAAATAGCCAGGCATTGTGGCAGGTGCCTAGAGTCCCAGCTATTCGGGAGGCTGAGGCAAGAGAATCGCTTGAGCCCAGGAGTCTGAGGTTGCTGTGAGATAAGACACCACGGCACTCTACTGAGGGAGACAAAGTGAGACTCTGTCTCAAAAAAAAAAAAAAAAATTAAAGCTGTTTTCTTATAATAAGCCTGGATGTTGATGAAAGAAGACAGTTTTTATCTGGCTGGTAATTTCACACAAGAATTAAACCAGTGTAATTGAAGAAATTTGGATAATTGTGTGTCTAGAAATTACTATGCTTCTCTTAGTAGCATGCAATAAAACTGTTACTGGGTAAAAATGAGCTCCTGAACACAGCCAAAGCATTCCAGTAATTGCTTCACTAAGTGAATCTAAGCTGTCCCTTTTTAGAAAAGGACGTCGTTCCCATTCTTACCCTATGGCTTCATTTGTTTTTTTTTTCCCCACAAGTCTATATTTTGGTCATGGTTTATCTATTGGCTCACATGACGGTCAAAATTTCAGATAATTTTGTAGCAATTACATTGCTTTTGTAAACATTGCTGTCTTTTGGTTTATTTTGTTCCAACTGGCCGGGCTTATTAACATGTGTTTAGACTGTACTAATTTTTGGCATCCTGATATAATTTAGAATTTGGTATGTGTGCAGATAAGAAGACTGCGTCTTCATAGTTTCTTTAGAACTCAACCCTTCCTTTAAATGCTTCTCAGAGGGAACCAGCTATGTATGAAATAGGCCCAGCTCAAGTTCTGAAGTCCTGCTCTTCCAACTCAGAGAAACCCAGAGATAATTTAGAAGTTCTCCTGTCCAACATGGAATCCTCTATAAAATTTCTCTGACAGAATAGAGGCACCAGCCCGAGGAAGAGATTCCATCCTCAGGCTTAAGAAGTGTACGTCAGGAGGGAGAGTGAGGTTCCTCTTTTCATAGGCTGAGTATCAATAATAGCTAAAAACTTAATGTGCATTATTGGTTGTATAATTATCTTTTGTATAATACAACCTAATCATGTGATATGCAATTTTAGAATATGTAAGCTTGATAAATCAATGAAAATAGTTGCAGTGCTAACATTAGCAGTTATGACAAACTCGTTCCCTTATATCCAGTAAGCTCAGTTTTGCCCTCTGGAGCAGCCTGGATGAACACACTTCTTCGTCCCTGAGAGCACCTGCCTGCTTCCCCCCCATACCCTGTGAAACTCTTCTCTCCAAGTTCTCTTACTGTTTCTCATGCAATATGGGTTCCAGACTTCTCTGCAGAATACTAACTCTGCTCTGCTGTGTGAACACACCATTTGTCTATGTTCCTCTTAAAACTGGTGACCACAGCTAGCGGTTACGTGGATATAGTTTAACCAGGACAGTGATCAAAGACTAGCCCTCAATTTTGATCCGAACAGCTCAGGCCTCTCCTTTCCCCATTCCTTGCCCATGCAACTGTCAGTGTATTGTGAGTTCATTTCAGTCTTCCGGCACTTGGTGCTGGGTAACTGTTGTGGGGCGTTGTCCTGTGCTTGGTACGATGCTCACCAGCATCCCTGGCCCCCACTAATGTGGCAATGTGCCCCTACCACCTCCCACCCCAATTGCAATAACTAAAATTGTTTCTGGACATTTCCAGAGCTCTCCTCGGGGGAAAAATTATCCCACACGAGACCACTGCTCATCATGACTTGCTGTGTGCTCATGCAGTGCCCAGCTCCCTTTTCCGTGGGCTGCTTGCCATCAGTGGGTCCAGCCTTTCTTTTTCCTATCCTAGTTATAGGAGCTTGAATTTCCAATTTACTACTGTTTACCCTTGTTTCATCCTCATGACATACTACATACCGTCAATCTAGACTTTGATTCCAGCATACCAGATATCCCCGCCCACTTAGTATTACCTACACGTTTTGTGAATGTCCCTTCGATGCCTCTGTCCTAGTGACTCACTACTATTGAGTGAGCAGGGGCAGGAGAGGGCCTGCTGCACCCTCCCTTCACGTTCACGGCACCCCTGGGTCGTCACTCTGCAGGAATGTGGGCAGCCAGATTTCCTTTCCTAAGGTCTGCCCACCTAGTTGTTTAAGGATCCCAGATAGTACATCAATTCTATCGAGAAAGGAAGACTCGTTTCTGAGATGCGTTTTTAAGGAGCCAGCGCTTGTCTGTTGATCGCTGATTCTTTCCCAGTTGCACATGTGTTGTGCAGAATCCGCCTCGTATCCACAGCAGTTGTACTTAGGGTATTATCTGAAGGTTTGTTTCTGCCAACTGCTCTTTTTCCTGCGATTTGCCAAGGCTACTGAGAGTAATTTTGTCAGATTTATCTCACAAACTTTGAGTGCTCACTGTGTGCCAGGCACGTGTGCATATGTTCACATTATTTCAGGTCTTTCGTTAAGGTAGTTCTCATTTATAACTTCATACCTCATCTGTCTCAGGCGTTAATGTTCTCCTAATAGCTCGCAGTTCTCCTTTAAAACTGAATTACTAGTCTACTTAACAAACGTTTTTTGAGCACCTACTATAAGTTGGCATTGGCCACACGCTGAGAACAGCAATAAACAGGCCCGAATCCCTGCCTCCACTGTGTGCTGCAGTCGGTTCTACCTTGCCTTCCCCTCGAGGGGCGGAGAAGGAGGAAAAACTAGAGAAAACTGATTTGTCCTTGACATCCATTATCTCAATTTTTATAAAAAACGACACAGATGAGAATTGTTACTTCCCCTTAAAAAAAGAGAGAAACTTTTAAATTGTCAGTTTTACTCTGTAAATTTCAAAATATTTTAATAACTTAAATCAAAAAATCCATTACTGAGGCATTTACTTCTATGGACCAAACAAAGAACTTAAAGATCAGAAGTCACAGCTAAGGCGACATGGAAAGGCTGGCGCGTTTTTACGGATTCTATCTTCATAACAAACAGTACTTTTAGTTCTAATAGCCCTTTTTTGTTTTGCTCCATTTGCTTGTTTGTTTATTCACATTATTTCTCTACAGAAGCACCGTTAAAAACATCCCAAAGTTTATGGTCAGAAAATCTTCCAGGTACAGTTTGCAGGCTGCTGCGCTGACCTCCCGTGGCCGCGACCCCTCCCCTGAAGTGTGTTTGCTACATGGGCACTGCAGCCACTGGGTTCACTGTAATCCCTGATGTCAGGCTTAGAACTATTCGTGTAGCTCTGCTCCCACCAGTTTGTAGGCTGAGATACTATGATAGTCTTCCCTGGTCTAACTACATTTTGGCAATAAATTGTATCCTTTGAAATCTTTCAGACTCTTGATATTATTGCTTCCTTAGGCTTACGCAACTTTAAATTGGCACTCAGAAATACCAATTTGACTTCATTGTTTTGTAACTTAGATTATTAAAATACAGAATATTATACAGTTCTTAGAATCTTTTTTTTTTTTTTTTTTGGAGACGGAATCTCACTCTATCACCCTTGGTAGGGTGTCGTGCCATCATTATAGCTCACAGCAATCTCAAAGCCTTGGGCTCAAGTGATCCTCTTGCCTCAGCCTCCAGAGTAGCTAGAACTACAGGTACCTGCCACAACGCCCAGCTAGTTTTTTTCTATTTTTGGTAGAGATAGGGGCTTGCTCTTATACAGGCTGGTCTTGAACTCCTGAGCTCAAGCAATTCACCTGCTTCAGCTTCCCAGAATGTTAGGATAATAGGCATGAGCCACTGTGCCCAGCCTTTCTTAGAATCTTGAATGCTAAAAAAATGTAGTCATGGCCCTTGGAAATTCCTTGGAAAAGCTTGTAAGTTTTATGATTTCACTCGTGGAAATATAAATGTTGTAATCTTCTCTAAAATTGTATACATTAAGCAACCACTTTTCTATTCTCAACTATTAAATAGAATGGCTATCGTATCGTTTGAGTCTGAAAACCGTTCAGAACTTAATAAGAAATATCTTCTGAGTGGTGGTGGATTTTGTTTTGTACTGTCACAGAGCTAGAAATTTTTAGATTCTTCTGGTTCATTTGATGAGGGTATAAATTACGATGATTGTTCCATCCTGTCCTTAGTCTTGACCACTACACATTCCTTTGTTAACAGTTTTGTAGTCTATTTTCCCTATCAAGTTCAATGTGTTATTAAATGTGTATATATCCAGTAACATACATGTTTCCATCGTGGACATATGTGCTGCTAAATGTAGGTAGAGAAGAAAGTATATTGTGTCTGGATAATTAAGTGACTTTGAAGTGAAACTTGCAATGACAGAGTGTCCCAGAAAGTGACCAGATTTTGACTGGGGTTGCCATGTATCTCCAGGAAGAAGAGGAGGGGTCAGAAGATGACAGCAGCATGAAGCCAGACTTCGAGGTCACTCTCAAAATGGACTTCAGTGCACGTTGCTTTCTGGACCAACTTGAAGATGATGCTGATGGTTTTATTTCCCCAATGGATGATGAAATACCATCAAAAGGCAGCCAGGACACAGGGCTCTCGAATCTCCACGCCGCTCCAATGTATGTCATGGCAGTCTTGGCATTTAAACGTTTCAGTGAAAATAACTTGCTTAAATATTTTAGCCTTTGTATTTTAAAAAATTGGCTAACAAAACACAAGTGACTACCTAGGCTGCATCTATGTGGCTAAACCAGTGATTTTTTTTAATTGTGGCTCAGCTTTTTTGTATGCTACCTCCCATGTTATGTGAGAGAACTTTTGAGCTTGTGCTTAAACAACCAGAGGTCCTCCATAAACGGCATTGTGTGGCACTCTGCGTGCCACAGCCCACCATTTAATACACACTGAGCACAGACATCATTTCTTTCTTTAAAATATATATATATATGACACAGTGCTGTGAAGCTTCACAAGGCCTGAGAAGTCCTAAGGAGCTGGAGCTCCCAGAAGTTGTATCTTCTCCCAGCATATTTGGGCTTTCAAGAGATGGAAAACATACCCATCTCTGCTGACCCTCAGGCCCGCGACAGTTTTTCATTTATTTGTTTCCTCCTTTTTCCAGAGCTCTTGTCAAGTTGCACATTCATTATATTTATAACAGTTGAGGTTTAACCTCATTTTCTTAAAATTTTTTCTCCTTTTTAGACCTGAACTCTTGGAACACCTTCAGGAAATGAGAGAAGAAAAGAAGAGGATTCGAAAGAAACTTCGCGATTTTGAAGACAATTTTTTCAGACAGAATGGAAGGTAGTGTGTGTGTTCCCCCGACCTCCGCCTCACTGGGTGTGCCCTCCTTCCTCCCGTCACACCTGTAGAGCGCCTCCAAAGCGGGGGTCCTCTGCTTCCTCCCTGTAACCTGGTCCTTGGGTCCATGCCTAGGAACCCAGCCTTCAAGGTTGACTGAGAGGATCAGATTGGTGTGGCCCTCCAAGAAGAAATGCCTCTTGGATAATGTCCCAGACGGATGCAGACTCAGCTTATGTCTGTCAAACAGACCTGTCACATCAAATTCTCATGTAAAACAAGCAGCCTAAAGTTGAGTTTCCAATTGATGACATTAGAATTTTTTCCCTTAAGAAACTAGTGGAAGAAAAGGAAAAGGAGACTCTAAATCTTACTGATTTTTAAAGTTCATTTTACAAAACAAAGCTGAGGGTTGCCAAGTTTGAATGAACAGTATATGTGAGAAGCAGTAAGTCCACCTGCTTGATAGGTTGCCTTTCTCCAGGGAGGTCTAAGGCAAAATTTAATCATCTTCATGTGACCTTATACTGAGGAATCATCTTTCATGTTTACATGGGGCTGCACACAGAATGGCCTAAAAATCCTAGCATGAACCCAAGGAAGGATTTGCATTGCTTGCAGTGGAGTTAGATGTTATCATTTCAAATTGGTTTTATTTTAATCTGAATTATTTAAATTATGTAAATACAATTTCTCTTTGCATTCTCTTTCATACTTCTTAAAAGTTGGGAAGAACTAAAACACCATAAAAATTAACTTTGGCATTTAAAATGTATAGCATTTCAGATTAGTTCAATTATTGCATAAACTTACTTTTAAGACCTATAATCGGAACTTATCCTATAATGACTTTCCCAAGAATTACACATTTTTATACCTAAATACTTGCTTTTCATTCCTTATACATTGCAGGATATTTAGAAAATATAGGCCAGGTGCAGTGACTAATGCCTATGATCCTAGCATTCTTAGAGGCCAAGGCAGGCGGATTGCCTGAGCTCATGAGTTTGAGACCAACCTAAGTGAGAGTAAGACCTCATCTCTAAAAAATAGGCAGGCGCCTGTAGTCCCAGCTATTCAGGAGGCTGAGCCAAGAGAATGGCCTAAGACCAAGAGTTTGAGGTTGCTGTGAACTGTAACACCATGGCACTCGACCAGGAGCTACAAAACAAGATACTGTCTCAAGAAAAAGAAAATATAAACATATAAATAAATCCCAAAATAACAATACCCAAAGACAGATCAGAATAATGTTTTGATGGGTTTCCTTCCAGCCTTTTTTTTTTTTTTGTAGAGACAGAGTCTCATTTTGTCGCCTTTGGTAGAGTGTTATGGCATCACAGCTCACAGCAACCTCCAACTCCTGGGCTTAGGTGATTCTCTTGCCTAAGCCTCCCAGGTAGCTGGCACTATAGGCGCCTGCCATGACACCCGGCTATTTCTTTTTGTTGCAGTTCAGCCGGGGCTGGGTTTGAACCCACCACCCTCAGTATATGGGGCCAGCACCCTACCTACTGAGCCACAGGCACCACCCTCCTTCCAGCCTTTTTACTAAGCATATTTTTGGTTTGTCTGTTTATCCTTTCTTATATCATTATAGTCACCTTATGCATGTACCTGAGGAACTTTGGCATTTAAAATGTATTGCATTTCGGATTAGTTCATTATTGCATAAATTTACTTTTAAGACCTCTGATTGGGACTTATCCTATAATGACTTTCCCAGAATTGATATGTTTTTATACCTAAATATTTTGTTTTTCATTCCTTATACATTGCAGGATATTTAGAAAATATAGGCCAGGCGCAGTGGCTCACGCCTATGATCCTAGAATCATTATGTAGCCTACACACGTTTTAAGTATAAATGGTGGAAACTGAACCGTAGGGGAGTTGGAATATTGTAAGATCTGGCTCCATTTATGATGCCTCTGAGGAGCCTAAAGCCCCTGCAAGAGAGCGGCAGGGACTAGGCGCCAGGTGTTCAGACCCCTGGGCTCCCGTCCCCTGTCCTGCCCTGCTCTCTGCTGAGAAGCCACTAGAAGCCTTTCCTAGAATAAGGGAAAGTATGAACAAAATCAGTTTATTTTTAGCTCATGAAACAAATTAGGCCCCATGCCATCTCCCCCACCCACATTTGGTCTTTAATACCAAGTAAAGGAGCCCGTGTGTATGTGTTTACCATAGGCATTCCCCAGTGAAATGTGAAACTGCCCAGTGGTGGGGGGCAGTCACTTTGCAGGGGGGCTGATTCCTTATCCTGGTTTTGTCATGTGTAGAATGTGGATAATAGCACCCTTTCAACCCCCAGGCCACAGACAGGTTAGGAACTGGTCACACAGCAGGTGAGTGGCTGGTAAACAGGCAAAGCTCCATCTGTATTTACAGCCACTCCCCATCACTCACATTGGCACCTGAGCTCCACCCCCGTCACATCAGTGGCATCATCACAGTCTCATAGGAGCACACGTGCAAAGGATATACACTGTGCCCACCGTTCACGGAAAAATTTCTCCCATGAAACTGGTCCCTGGTGCCAAAAGGGTTATGATAGATCATGAATACAAAGTACTTACCACAGGGCTGATAAGCTCTCAATTAATACTTGTGTCTATAAACATTATATGCCTACAAAATTACTCAGTAAACTATAAAGGCATATTAGTATCATGTGATCCCACTACTTAATCCAAGACTACTGTTATAATAAGTAGGAGTATTAACTGTTTTGGAAAAACCTGTAAGTTGCTGGTATACCAGATACTAATGAGAAATTGAATGGCTCAACATTAAGTATGAATAAAGGACTTCAGTGTATAGGAACTCTTAATATGAATTCATAGTTGACAACAGAGAGAAATCGCATTTCTTAGTCTGTCTTATCATTCTACAAGATGCCAGATTAACTACAGTATAACCTCCATAGCTGGCCACCTCCTTAAGTTGACCTAATTTTTAGAGACCAGACTTGTACCATGTGTACCTATCAGTACAGTAGGCCTCCTTGCTTATGTTGGACCACCTCTGTGTGTTGACCAGTTACAGTCTCCTTGGGTGACCAACAGGCTACTGTATGTAAAAACTCGGGCCCATGGTGCCTTCTGAGGGAGAGAGCTTTTCATTGCTTGTCTAAATCCAGCTCCAAGTGCCACTTACCACTTCCATAAGCTGACAGTCTGCAGAGTTTCCACGTGATGCCTGAGGAATAGCATCACCGAGGAGAGACAAAAAGTGATCCTTAGCCCCCTTTTCCTTTATTTCCCTTAGAAATGTCCAGAAAGAAGACCGTGCTCCTATGGCTGAAGAGTACAGTGAATACAAACATATAAAAGCCAAGTTGAGGCTCCTGGAGGTGCTCATCAGCAAGAGAGACACCGATTCCAAGTCCATGTAAGGGGCAGCCCCTGGCCGAGCGCAGGGGCTGTGCAGGTGCAGGGAGAATCCTCTCCCCGAGGGAAGAGCAGCTCTGAAGGCAGCCCTGGCACTGGACTTGCGAAGCAGGCAGCCCTCCTGCCCCTTGGCCGTTGGGATCAGCTCCTGTGTCCATTGCCTGCCTCAAAAGCTGGCTAGATGGAAGCTGATGATGCGGCCTGACTTAGGACATTTGTAATGGGAAAGTGAAGACTCCTGTGTGCATATGCACACGTGCGCACACTCTGGGTGGGGGGGAGCTTCCAACACGAGCAGAGAAGAATCACTACATTAGACACGCTCCCCCACAGAGAATATTCACTGTTCTTCCCAGATAACTGACAAACACGAGGCCATTCTCTGTCTAACTGTGATGAAAACAAGCTCAGGACTTTGTCGAGCAAACTTCCCACGGAGCTCCGTGTCCTCCTGGGACCCGTTTAGTGTGAACACGCATTCGAGCCCTGTGTGCTGCCTCGGCCCTTCTGGTGACCTTCAGCAGAGTTGCACCCTTCCCACTCGTGTGAATTGCTTCTCCTCAGCTCTCAGGTGGATGGGAGCTGCGTCTGCCCACAGTCCTCCTCCTTTGGGGGTGCATTTCTGGACTCCCTCAGCTACGAAGCAGTTGTGATCCCTGACTAGGACTGGATCATCTGCAGAGGACAGAGGGACTGCAGCAGCAGCCATCTTGATGTCATTTTCTAAATCAGGTGATAGGGTGAAGAGCCTGGAGATTCTTTCCTGAGCACTGACTGCGTTTTAACATCAAACACTAAGCAAGGCCAGCGTGTGTCATGCAGCCTGCCTGCAGCGTGGCTTTGTTGCAGTACTAGCCAATCGCCAAGGGTCTTGCTTAATTCTTAGCCCTGGTGTAATGGCTCACGGGAGCCAGGGAGCACATGCTCTCAGCCTCCTGAGTACTACCAGACTTTAATTTCTTTAAAGAGTAATCCTGCACTAAAACCCCCACACTGATGGTTAATGTAGCACTCACAGCTCAGCCCAAGACAGAATCTAAATCATACCATATTCAAGATTATGTTTAAAAAAAATATATTGGTGTGTGGCCAATTACAATTTTTTCAGACTGTCACAAAGCTGTCTATATTAGACATTTTGGATGGACCAGGGAATTTAAGATGCCAAATCATTCATCTCTTCCGTGTGCTTGATGTCACTTTGTCATTCATTGTTACTTCTTACCATTCTATGTGTGCACCGAGGAAAGTGGGTTCTGGGTCCACCTTGGCGCTGTGTGAGGTCCAGCATAGGCGACGCTCACCTGCCGAGTGACGGGGGGGGAGCTGCAGCAGGCCCTGCCTTTGGAAGACAATGTTGCAGGATGAACAAGAAACCGGGGATGCCTCCTGTATGTTTTGAGAGTTGCTGTCTTAAAGGGTGCATTTTTGCTTTGTTTTAATAAAAAGAAGAAAAAAAGCATAAAACTGTAGTGACCAGTTGTCAGTTTTAAAAAGGGGGCTTGAGAAACTGGCTGGTCTGACTAAATTTACAGCAACATTTTCCGTTGCTGAAGCGAGGTAGGAGCTTTTCCTTTGTCAGTTGAGAACTGTTTTAAGTCAAGAAGTTGGGAATGGGGGAAAGAATGCCTTTAAGTTTGCTCTTAAAAATAATCTATAGAAGCATGAGAATGTGTTGAAAATGCCCTGGTTTGAATCCACACACTTAAAGACGGTACATAATCAAAGCCCTACAAATCTAAATGTACATAATATAGTTTGGAAATCTTTGCTGTACTGTTTACATTGCAGATTGCTATAATTTCAAGGAGTGATATTATAAATAAAATGATGCACTTTAGGACACTTGGTTTTTGAAATCTGAACATCAATCATTCACATGACCAAAAATTGTGTTTTTGAAAAGAAATACATGTCTGGTCTGTCCTTTTAAAATAATTGTTCTCTGAAATAAGCTATGCTATATATCAAATCATTACCGTTTAACTTTCAAAGCACATCTGTTTAAGAGTATTGTTTTGGAAACATATACTACACAATTTTTTTAAAGCTACACATAAATAAGAAGCTACTAAATGTTTTGAAATCTGTTGTTTCTACCAAAGGTAAATTGAGATTCAGGAATCCCCATTCACATTTGTATGATTCAATAAAAGAGAACACCAAGTCATAGTAAAATAAATTTTGTATGGAATGTTATTTTTCTTTGTGATTTCTAATCTAAATTCTTTATGGAATGAAGCCTAAATGAAGGTGGGTGGGGGGAGCCCTGTTTACGTCAGATTCTATTTGGAGACCTGTTCGTCAGTGGTTCTGGCTCTGCCAAGGCAGAGTTGTTTCCCCAGCAACCGTTTCTGCAGCCCAGGATTTCAAGGCGCTAGAGGCAGTATCTTAATTGGCTTCACACAGACAGAATGCTCTGGACTGGGGTTATTCCTTTGCTCTCGTGGGAATGTGTATGTGTTTATTAGTACATGCCAACAAGATAAATGTTGGGTTATTTAATAATGGTGATAAGTAAAGGTAAAGCATAAATAAACAAGGTTATGATCGTAAGAATTAGCAATGCCAAAAGCTTGTAATTTTCATAAGCACATGCTTTTATTATGTTCAGTCTGGAGTAAACATTGAAATGGCTGTTTATATTATCACTGCATTTCGTCTTTGAATCATTTATTTAGGTCAAGTAGAGCTTCTAAGACTAAGTACAAGCTTTAGGATAAAGTCCTGCTTAGCAGTTTTTCATGACAGACGCTTGTCCTGTGCCAGTAGAAGAAAGTTAGCACAATCTTGGTGATCTCCGGAGCTTGGGGAAATTTCCATTAAAGACCAAATCAAATTTCAAATAGGCATACTAGGTTTTTTGATTGACAGCCAACTGCATGAGAGCTTTTAGATAAGATTTCTTCCTTTTGGTTGCCAGTTTGAAGTCAGAGTCAGTGATGTCTCTGTAACAGCAGTATAATTTTTGCTTTTTCTCACTCTGATGCAATGATTGCATGGAGGAGGGTAAGGCTCTTATAGTGTGTGCCTGCTCCCAGGGGTGACATTTCCAGCCCAGGACAAATGCCTCAGGGCTGTGCTTGTGTCATAAATACTGTACTAAGATGTCCTGAGCTAGTAGTCTTGGAACCTGGGAGCTCTGACCATTTGCAAATGTGTGAGCTGGGAATTCCTTATAAGGTGAATATTTAGGTTATCCGAATAAAGGGATGGCCACGATTGCTAATTAGGTTTGTTCTGTCTTGGGGTTACCCTAGTTCATAGGAGACAATCAGCTCTGGCATCCAGAATTAATCACAAATTTACATGGAAAATCAAATTTAAAATTTGTTAATTAACTGTTTTAGAGATTTTTAACCTGATGCCGAAGATGCCATTTTCCTGCGGGTAACACCTTACTGCTTTTGATGGTGTGTGTGTATATATATATATATGTATAATCTCTAGTTGAACACCATAGACCAGGGGGCCTCAAACTTTTTAAATGGGGGCCAGTTCACTGTCTCTCAGACCGTTGGAGGGCTCGACTGCCGGCCCTGGAACGAGTCGGCTGCTAAACAGGACAGGCAGCAGCGGCAAAAACACCCGGTGGGCCGGATAAATGTCTTAGGCAGGCCATAGTTTGAGGACGCCTGCCATAGACTATTAACTATTTGTGAAGGCTAGTTGTAGTCTCAATTCTATTTTGCTATCAAAAGAGGTTCTTCCTGACACACTGCTTCCTGGATTGTTTTGTCTTGTGATTGTCTTTTGATCTTCTTTTTCAGGACCCCCTTGGTTCAGTCAATGGGGAGGGGCAAACCTGTACTAAAATGTGTCTCCTCTGAAGCCCCCATGTTTGGCAGAACTCAGAATGTGCTTTGCTTTCCTTCAATACTTCCTTTCATTGTTTTACCCACTTGACTTTCAAAATGCACATAAGAGTCTATTTGGTTGAAAGACTAAACATTTTCTAATTTACACTCAAATTGTGCACACTGACATTATTTTTATTTCAGATTAATATAAGGGTACACGATGATTGGGTCACAGTGTTTGCATTTGTTAGGTAAAGTCCAAGTTGTTGAGCCCTTCACTGAGGTGTGCCATCTACCCCTGTACTGTGCCTGCTGGGTGAGAATACACCAATCCCCCTGCCCCCTTCTTGATTTAATTGTGTTTTTCTCTTGTGTGGGCCTGTAGTTGTTAGTCTACTAGTTTCAATTTAGTATTGAGTACATTGGATACTTGCTTTTCCATTCTTATGATACTTTACTTAGGAAATGTTCTCCAACTCTATCCAGGTAAACACAAAAGATGTAAAGTCTCCATCTTTATTTATGGCTAAATAGTATTCCACATTATACATATACCATAGTTTATCCATTCGTGAGTTGATGGGCACTTGGGTTGTGCCCACATGTTGGGGATCGTGAATTAAGCTGTCATAAACATTCCAGTGCAAATGTCCTTATGGTAAAATGATTTATTTTTCTTCTGGGTAGATACCGAGTAATGGGATTGTGGGATCAAATGGAAGGTCTACTTTTAGCCCTTTGAGGATTCTCCAAACGTCTTTCAAAAAGACTAATGTAGTCTTTCAAAAAGGCTACATTAGTTTGAAATCCCACCAGCAGTGCAAAAATGTTCCCTTCTTCCATATCCATGCTAGCATCTGAAGCTTTAGGACTTTGTGATGTGGGCTGTTCTCACTGGAGTTACGTAATATTCAAAGTGGTTTTGATTTGCTTTTCTTGGACAATTAGAGATGATCAGCATTTTTTCATGTTTATTAGCCATTTGTCCTCCTCAGAGTAGGTTCCATACATGTCTCTTGCCCAGTGATAGAGGGGATTGTTTGCTCTTGATTAGTTTGAGCTCGCTGTAGATTTTGGTGAATAGCCCTGTAATTCATAACATGAAAATTATCTTCTCCCATTCTGAAGGTTGTTTATTTGCTTTGTTGATTGTGTCCTTAGCTGTGCATAAGATTTTTAACTTGACCAGGTCCCATTCATTCATTTTTGCTGTTGCTGTGATTGCCATGGGGTGTTCTTCATAAAATCCTTCCCGGGACACTGGCATTATTTCAAATAGTGGCCAATACAGCATACTCCAAATGAGTAATATATACGTACAGATGGTGGTCATCACACCATGGCACTGGCCACCTTCCCAAGCAAAGATCTCTGTGTCCTCATGATAGATATATGGACATAGGCTGGGACCAGAATTACAGATTTACACTGATACATGAAATGAAACTCTGTACATTTACAACTTCTCACTGCTATCAAACTTCAGTTGTCTCTGGAGAACATCATTTTGCCTGGAACCAGGCCAGTTGTGGTCATGTGCATGGCTCAAGAAATAGGTTTGGCAGATCTGATTCTCCATCTGAAAGCACCTACATACGTCATGAAAATATCCAGAAATATAGTGAAAAGTATAGTGAATAATACGGGCCCAGAATAATGTTTACATGACATGTAAGCAGAAAGCATTTGAAACTGCTCTTGTCCTTTTTTAAAAATGTAAATTGAATGAAAAACATTATGCACATTTTTGTACATGATTGTATTTTGTATAAATTTTAAAATAAAATATTTTAACTGTGGGAATTCTGAAATTTTTTGACAGCGTCATCCGGACCATAAGACTGAACTGCCCTTAGGGTCTGACCTTTCCCTTCTTCAAGTAGCCCAGTGGCTCCCTTGGGCCCCTCAAAACCCTCATGAGATCAGGTTTCTGCTGCTGTCTCCAGGAAGGGCCCTGGGAGGTGAACCGTTTCCGTGTGGGAGCTAGAAAAACATGAGCTTGTGCTTGATGCCTTTAAGATAACTCATAGAAAGGGCTGGAAGAGTGCAGAAATTAAGGCAATAGAGCACATTTTTTAAAAAACTACATTTCCAAAGTTTATGAGGCCATTGTAGGTAAATACACTCGCCATTTACTATTCTGAAATGAACAGAGCCATAAAAAACTGGTACTTTGGAGAAAGGCATATTTGTGTGAAGGGAGTACCTCACTTTCTGTGCTGCCTGTCACAGGCCAGGTGCTCCCTCGTGCACACCTGGAACAGCCCCGGACAGTAGGAGGGTGATGCTCCCAGCTCAGGCAGGTACACAGGTGTCCTTGGCATGGTGTAGGTTCTACATACTCTAAGCAATAAAAGGAGGCATTAAAAGTACACTAAACCCAAAAATTAAGGCTTGTACAGACCTTGTCCGAGTGTGTTGCAACCAGGATTCACAACCAGATCTGATTTTCGAGTACAAAGACACATGCTGCTGATCTCACGCCATCCGGCCAAAACCGCAGCTCCGCCTGCACAGGCTTTGTAGCACTGGCTTCAGAATAGTCCCCGTGGGGCAGAAGTGAAGTGGTGCTGACCCTCCATTTCTCTCAGTATTCGGATGTTCCCCCCATACAGCAAACCCAAGTACACCTGGGCTCCACGGCCTGTCACAAAGCCGGACTGCGCTTGCCCTTAGTCCTGTGACAGTCTGCAGGTGCGTGGCCTGAAAGGGGAACGGCAGAGTGAGGACCAACACGTGGGGTAGGGGCCGGCTGAAGAGGAAAGGGGGTCTCTCCCAAGGGCCTCAGCATTACCTCTTCCATTCTGAGTCTTGTAGGACAAAATATATCAGAATCATCCCTAAGCTGGGTCAGCTCA